TTGATTTCTCTCTTTCTCCTTTCTGATTTCAATATGTTTTCACGAGGTTGATAAATGTAGATTTTGTACGTGCGTTGTGGCACATTGACATGTCCTCTGCGGTGCATGGCACAGAGAGCCCTACCACAATTTAAACTTCCATCTGTGCCATGGCCCACTCGAACTTTGACCTAGCCTTCTTCTAAGACTGTCCAAGGATTCAAAAACTATATTAGTCTCCTATAAACATCATTAATCAATAATTTATCTAATTTGACCAAATTATTCTTAGAAACACTAATAATTCCCAAATTGAAAACTTAAGATGTTACATCACCCCTTTCTTTACAATATTTACAGGTCAGATGAAGGATCCAGTGATGCACGAGGAAAGGAGCAGAGCTAGGGGTTGTTCGTGAATTGTAAAGAATTGCAACTCATTTTGAGCAATTATATTATAATGTATCTAGGATTAGGGTGCCAGTAGGATGTGATTATATATATCTGTGTGAATATGTGTTGATTGTATGCCTTTGTATAATTTTTTGTCTGCTTGTAGACTTGTGACTAGACAACTTGGTTATGGTGTGTGGTTTTGATGGATTCATTTAGTATATCAAATTTTCACTACAAGAAAATGTTTATTTTGATATGTATATGAATATATGTGATTTTATAAGCAAATGCAAAGTGGTTGCATTGCAAATTATGTGCTATGGGTAAACATACACCTTGGATAGAGAGAGTGGGTGCGTGGGCCCCATGGAGATCTCTAAGTCAAGTGAAAATATTTAGCATGTATATTTATATAAGTATATGGTATTTAGATTGGTTTTTGACCACTCTTGTGTGATTTGTACATTTTAGGGGCTTAGAGTCCACTTTGGAAAATGGCACTCAGGTGGTCAAATTTTGGTATAAGGGGGTTTCCTATCATTTGAATGTTCTATTAGGTGCTCCTAGTCTATTTGATGTGTCCAAAGTGTTCTCACAAGTTTGTGACCTTTAGGATGAGATTTGGACAATTTTGAAAATGATTTTTAATAATAAATTGCACTTTTGCATCCGGGTGTTCAAACTTCAATCCAACTGTTAGATTTTCTTGAAATTTGGATCACAAGTAAAAAAATTTATAATCTTAGTATGGGCTGTAGAATCATCTCAATCAAACATCAAACAAGAAATAGTGTACTCCGAAAGTTGGTCCAGAGATGCTATCATAATGCTGTCATGATAGCCACAATTGGTGAGGTTGGGAGGTGCATGAATTTTTATCTGATCATTGGATCTTTTTGAAATTAGGTACACTTGTAGTACTCTTTGAATGTAATGTGTGGACTCTAGAATCACTCCAATCGGAGGTCAGATGATGAAATGGTGCACTCCGAAAATTGGTTTGAAGGTGCTGTCATGACAGCAAAAATGCCAAATGTGTAACGTGTCCAAATTTTAATCCGACCATTGGATCTTTGTGAAATTTGAAATACTACTAGTACTCATTAAAAGTGACATGTGAGATTTGAAATCATTTTAATCAGAGGTTAGATGATGAATCGACACCTCTTGAAAGTTTTACTAGGAGGGCTATCATGACAGCAATTAATTGCCCCTGTTTACTCAATTTGTTTCCATGCCCTATATAGTAATCATTTAAAATTTGTTAAGAGGTTTTAAATGTTTGTCTTGCTATTGTATAAATTGGTTGGTAATTTTAAATTGTTTTTTTCTAAGTTAATTTTAGGATCAACTACTTAACTACACTTAATTTATTTGGTTGTGGTGTGCTTTTGGTAACACTTGAGACAAGTGTTACATAGACTATGGCTCCCCTCCTCAAAAAACCCAACTAGAAAGTGTCACTATCCTACTTCCCCCTTTACAAACCTAGTTAAGTAAGCATTGAGGAATGGGGCTTTGAAAAGAGCCAACCACTGTCCGCAAAGTAGTGGCAAACCACATGGTCACAAAATTATAGATACATCATCATCATCATCTCCTCATCAATCCATCCTCAATGTATTTCACACATATACCTCATTTATCATGCATACATGCAAGATTAAAAAGAAAGAAATTATTTCATTAGATCATTAATTTAAACTACAAGCATGCTAACAAAAAAACACTAACAATAAAACATAGGTAAGCTACAAGCATGCTTGACTGGATTTAAATGACATATGAATTTCCAACAAGTAAATTTATAATTATATGTGTTCGTTATCACATACAAAGTTAGTATACATATAAAGAAACCTCAAGTTACTTGTTTTCCTTGAGCATTATGTAGTCTGACAAAAAAATCTAAGGCAATAAAAACTCTCAGTGAAAGCCTACAGAAATTAGATACATGTAAAAATATTAATATAAAATTTAAAGGTACTAAAAATTACCCTAAAACTATCCTAAGATTGCTCTAAAATTATTCTAGGACCTTAAAGCTACCTTAGGAGACCCCAAAATCTCCTTTTAAATTCATACCTCTTCATAACATAATTATTTTGCTAGATTAGTCCGAATTCATGTTTAACTTAAATTATATAAATTTCCAAATTAAATCTTAAGTCTTAATCTAGATTTTTATTATATAAACAGATATAATATTATATTATACCTATAGGCATCCGCAAGCGCGAACATGATGTGCTGGAACAGGATCCGTGGCGATGGTACACATTTTCCCAAAGGATAATCACCAAAAGGCAACTAAGAAGGCAGCTATTATTATTATAAGAAGGTGGAAGCAGCAGTTGAAGTCAGCTGTTTGTGTGTGCCACTGGCTTGACCAAGGAAAACCCCCATCTTTTACTATACTAGCTAGTTAACCCTACGGGGAAGGGAGAGCAAATCAAAAGGAAGGAAAAGAAAACAAGAGAGAGAAGTCGATGGTCACTTCCCAACACGAGAAGGAGACGCAGGGATAGGAGAAAGCAAAGGAAGAAGGATAGAAAAGGGGGGGCCGGGGGAGAGAGAAAGAAACAGGTACCTGGAGAACTTAACTGCCAAGAAGGGAAAATAAAACTAAATGAATAGAGAGGTAGGGTTTTCTCTATGTTATAAAGCTACTAACTTATAAATTATAAAACTAATCTAATTTTTCTTATTATTGTTGTTATTATTTTAATACCCATATCTTGAAAGATCCTCTAAAACAGTGTGATATATTTTAAAACTTACAACATTCTCTGATTATTATGTTTTCTTTTATTTTATAACTTAGTTGCAAATATTTGATAAGTTTAAATATTTTAATTATTATTATTATTTTCCTACTCTTCAAGGCCCAACACTCAAACATATGTCCTCTTTAATGTGTCCATTGGCAGTCTAAGACTCAAATAATCTAGGATGTTACAATAGACATTACCAAAAACCCTCCAATACCTATAATGAAATTACTATCGAAATTATTAGTTGTTGATCTTATCTCATCTAATGAAAAGAAGCGACACAAGTTAGACAGAAAAAGTGAGGATTTGTTTGTTTTTTATGTCAATACTTATTGTTCCTGTCCCCAATGTGAATTTCTTTCATTGATTGCACCTCTAAACAATAATTGATAGTAAACGAACAAAACGATGAGAGATAAAGAATGAAGCCAGAAGCCGCCCCCACAACTATAGAAATTAACCTCTTATCCGGTTGGTTCTTATTAGATGTTGGAAGCAGTGAGGGAGAAGGAGGTTGATCAAGATTGGCATCTTCAAGATTGTTTTTGAAGTCAGTTATTTTCAGAATTTCAATACCATTCAATAACACATCTCTGTAAATGGTTCTTCTTGCAGTTGGGTGTGATTGCAAACTTAATTAAAAGATCCATTTTCTTCAAAAAATTCCATCGCCTTACTCCGCGTAGTCCCTGTGGACAGGATCCAAAATCTGCTTACCACTCACGACAGGTTCCACCAAATGGATAAATGATACAGGATACCTCCATCTAAAAATTCTATTATTGCTATATTATGAAATGTATATATATTTTGATATATCTTTTCACCTTTTTAAAATCAAAATTAAATCTATGATATATAATATTTTCTTTAAAAATGCACAATATTTGATTACTATTCAAGTCTAATAACCTTTTCATGTATGGCACGGGCAGTAAATACTTGAATAATATCTTATTTTGGAGTCTTTGGGTATTTTATTTGAATTACAATAAAACTTAAATAAATAGTATCATAGGTTGAATTGAAGAGGTAGGTTCTGGGTCTTGGAAGGTGAGAGTATAAATAGTATCTTACATTGAAGTACTCCCCCATCTCTATATATAAGAAGTCTTTTAAAAAAAAAATTTGTCCCTAAATATAAGAGGTTGTTGGCATTTTTTTTTTAATGAATGGACTATTACAGTTTTATTAAATTGAAAAGAAAAAAATATAAATACTCTCATTAATTTACTTTGAAAAAAGAGATTCATTTTTATTTATAATAATTAGGGGCGAAATTGAAATGTTGTTGTGTTTTTTAATTAGATAACCAACTTTTATTAGTTTGCATAATTCAATTAAAATATTTTATATATAAGGACTGAGGGAGTATCAATTACAATTATCCTGCATGATTCAAGTTGATGCATGTCCTGTTAAAAAAATGAGGGGTAATTTTTTTAAGTACATTGATTTTTTTTTTTTTTTTTTGAGCAGGGGACAAATGAAAATTTTCTTTATTCGGTGATGTGACGGGGAAAATTTACTTAGGGTAGTTTTGGTTTTTAATGTATTATCGTAAATATGATAATGCCATGAAGATATAGGTAGCACATCATCCCGTTTTTTTTTTTTTTTTTCTTTTGGCCGGGGAGAGGAGGAGCAAACATGATTTCAAAATTAATGGTAGGAAGGGAAAGTTGGCATTATTACATTGTTCATATAATTTATCACAACAATATTATTTTTCTGTATCATTTGTATCAAGAAAGAGATAAATATAATTCAATAATATATAATCTCATATGTTACTTAATCCAAATAATTCTCTACTATGATTGCAAAATACCAAACATTATCATTGTCAAAGTCAGTGTATATTTGCATTAAACATGAACATAACGATTGTTGGAAAGTGAAGAGACACATGATCGATACGTAACGGTTCCTCCATTCTTAATACAATCAATATATAAAATCTCATTTCCTTAATTTCCCCTTCGTTAAATTTTCTTTCTCTGATTCCAGTATTCTACAGATGTGTCTGATAATTCGATATAAGCAAGAAACTGGATGCACTACTGCTGAACAAATCATCTTGACTATACTCGGTGCTCTTATCTCCTCCAAACTCTTCACTTCCTCTTTAATTCGCTCGTCTGTTGTTCTGCATTCTCTTGTAGCTGCAACGCAAACTCCAGCCCCCATACGACGTCGTTCATGGATGGCCTCTGGGTCCCGTCGTCTAGCAGACAGCTCGCAGCTATCTCGCTGAACTTCCTCAAGCACTCCGGCGATATCTTTCCCGTCAAAGCTGGGTCCACAATCTGAGCCAGCGACCCCATTTGGTAGCAATGCTTACCCCAATCAGCAAGTGACACCTGTTTCTTCTCCGCCGTACGGATCAATGCCGGCCTGGCGCATAATATCTCAAACAGAACCACGCCGAAGGAGTACACGTCAGACTTTTCAGTCAAACGTTGACGTTTGTAGTATTCCGGGTCCAAATACCCGACACTGCCCTTCACCACCGTGCTGACGTGAGCCTTCGACATGCCCGTTGGTCCGATCCTGGATAGTCCGAAGTCGGAAACCTTGGCGACCCATTTCTCGTCCAATAAGATATTGGTAGTCTTCACGTCACGATGAATGATAGTGTGCATCGCACCTGCATGGAGATAATGCAATCCCCTTGCTGCTCCTATGCAAATCTGAAGCCTTTGCTTCCACGTAAGAGGTGGGTTATCGGTGTTATATAGATGGTCACCGAGGGTCCCATTAGCCATGAAATCGTAGACTAGGATCATCTCGTTGTTTTCGTTACAGTAACCGATGAGAGATACTAGATGACGGTGGCGAAGCTGTGAGAGCACTTCAATCTCGGTTTTGAACTCGTGGGCCCCTTGTTGAGAATTCAGTTTGAGCCGCTTGATCGCCACCGGAATGGTACCGTCGTTGATGTAGCCTTTGTAAACGTTGCCGAATCCTCCGATCCCAATGATGAAGAGTTCGTCGAAGTTGTTGGTGGCGGCTCTAATCTCAGTGATTGAAAAGTAATGGCAGAGATCAGATGGCACAGATAAGGCAGTCGTGTTGGTTGATTTGGATGTAATATACACAAGTGGACCCCACTTGGAGGCGGCGACATTGGATTTTGAATCCTTGACTCTCTTCCCTTGTATGATGAGGAAGAAAGCAATAAAAGAGAGCAAAACGTTTCCGGCAACCACGCCGACAACGACACCGACTATTGTCTTCGTATTTCTACTACCTCTTTTGGACTTCTCAACAAACGGTGTCGCCCGACGAAGAGGGCGAAGGTCAGGGTTGGGTCCGGCGAGATTATTGCTTTTTGGGTCGCTGATTTTGAAAATTTCAAGTCCGTTCAACGACGGATCGCTGTAGATAGTTTGGCTGTCTCGGAGAGGATGCATTTGGACCGAAAGCTTAGCCTTATTCTGATTTCCTACTATAAAAACAGCATAGTCTCTATGAACCGGAACCCCTTTTTGCTTTGCCCATCTCAAAACATCTGCGCGATCATCAGCTACCTGTCCCGCTATGTAGATGAAGAACGCTCGGTCACTGGGGTTCGTAATGTTTGGGTCAAGCTCGCAAAAGTGAAGCCTAACCACGTATGTAAACCCAGAATCAACAGAGAATTCCCAAGTGATGTTACTTATGTTGTTCCAAGCGTTTCTTCCCATAGATCTTGCGGTTCCATAGACATCGACAGGTGCTGTGTAATCAGGTTCCATGGTGTAGGTGAGATTCGCCTCAGGAAATTGAATAGGTAAATAATGTGCAATCATCGAAAAATTGTCATCTGGTTCCCAGGACCTGAGCATTCCTGTGTCGTAATCAGGAGATATTGCTTTTCCACCCACGTTGAGCCGATACTCTGTTTCCAAAGCAGAGTTATTGCCGATTATGAAAAAGCTTCCATCATGACCCACAAATGGAACCCCTTGACCATCAGATTCCGTGTAGTAAAGATTAGTAGGCATGGACACGATCTCGATTCCATTGATGAAAGCATAGTAATCTGGGTTCGTCAAGTTTGGCGTGAAGGTCAAATTGAGACTCTCACCATCATCCACGTTGACGCAATATTCTCTAAACAATGTGTCTCTGCCTTCAGTCAGAGCATTGAGGGAAGCGTTGAAGTCCTTAAGCAGAGTAAACCCACCGGATTCCACCGTGAATAAGCCATTGAAGGAATCAAAACCTGGGTATGAGGTTGGGTAGAAGAAAAGGCGAACGAATTTCTGACCAGGAGTAACAGGGAAAGAATAGATGAACTTAGAGCGAGAGAGACGAGCTGTTGTGTATGGAACCTGAATGATGGAAGGAGATTGATTGATTGCTGTGGCAGCACTGGATTTGTCTTGTGAAGACGACAAAAGCTTTGAATCAATGTCTCCAATCCATGTCCTGTTTCCTACGGAAGAATTTCCATTAGAGCCACAGTTGATACTGAAGAGTTCAACGGGATTGTAAGAATCGACGACGACGACTAGAATGGTAAGACAAAAGAGTGAAAATGAAAAGAAGAATGTGGTAGTGCTGGGGCGAATCATCAGGTTCATCTTTCCGTCAAGGAGACACAAACGTAGTTACATGCAGGAAACAAAGATCTATGGAATTACAATTAAGATTTCTGGTAAATATAGCTTTGAGCGTTTGCTGGTTGTTGGTACCTTTCTATAACAGGAAGCCTAGAAGAAGGAAGCTGCCAAAAGCTGTAGCTTCGAGCAATCCAGGCGGCTTTCCTTGTTTGGACTACTTTGGAATTCAAAGTAATATTGGTGAGCAGGTTTGAAGTCAAGGACGTACAAGTTAGGAAAATATTATGTAAGCAGACCCAAAAATATTTTTAAAAAATTGTTTATAATAAATTTATCTCAAAAAATTCTCTTCCATACAAAAGAGATATATAAATTTTACATAATAAAAATAATAATTTACATGATTCTAATAAAAAGGTATTTATGTATATGCATTTTTTAATTTATTATAATTTTATATCTTATGAATTTTTTAGTATTCATTTTTATTATACTATATGCTTAATATAATTTAATAAATATTTAAAATTATTTTTTAAAAAATATTAATACTTTTTAGTATAATTTATGCTCCATTGACTCCAATTGGGTCCGTCACTGTTTTAAGTTTTAACTTTAAAAAATTCTTGCATCATGTAATTAAAAAAAATATTGAATATGGTAATTGAAGTTGATGTAGATTCACATTCCCTACTACAAAAAAATTATATATAACAATTATTATTGTCAATATATAATAATTTTTAATTGCTATATATTTTACAACAGAATTGGTAATCAAAGAGGACAATTATTTTTCATCATAGAGGATAGTTGTCAACTATCCCTATAAAAGCATCTTCTATTAAAAAAAAATACATATAGAATATTTCCATATATATGGAGAAATGCAGGACAATTATAAACTAATCATCCTAGATGAGGTTCTATATTGAACCAAATCTAAAACCTTTGAGGTTGTATAAGACACCGTCCTATATGGCCACCTATAGAGGACACTTGTGACCACTTAGAAAAGATCTATCTTGAAGATTTTGTCACTTAGAAATTATAATATTAATATGCACAAGTAATGAATTCCTTTTTTTTTAGTTTTGTAATTATCAATACCAACTACAATAGTTTTCTTTAAATAACTATTATATAGTTGACAAATATAATAGTTATTTTGCAAAAATAGTTATATAGTTTGGCTCAATTTTAGTCATTTTATGTTACTTGTTGCCCCACAAATTATATAGTAGTTATTTGAAAATAACCATTATATAGTTCAGTCTTTTTTTAAATATAGGGAGGCTGCATTTCTAGTTGCCTGCTACAATTACAAACTAGTAGTATTCCTAGTAACAATAGTCCAGTAACAAAATTCTTTAAAAAATCCAAATTCACATGTATTGAATGATATTTCAAAATCCAACTTTATTTTCCTATAGTCATTTATAAAACTATTTGCAATTACTTCCAATTGTCAAAAAATGCCTATACAATAATAAACTAATTGTAAGAAAAATTTTGTCAAGTTAAAACTATGCAAAGTTAGCCAAAAGTCAAAATAAGCCAAAACTGTCTAAGTATATAAATAGAACCTAATAATCCTAAACTAATTGTAAGAGAAAATATTTTTCATGAAAAAATTTGAGAGAACTTCTCTCAGAAAAATTGAAAAGAAACTTATCTCGAACTAATTTGAGAGAAATATTCTCTTAAAATTTTTTGTGAGAATTTTTTCTCAAAAATGTTTGGAAAAACATTTTTCACATAATATCTCGAGGGAAATTCTGTAAGAAATTTAAATAAAATATTAAAATTAAATTTTATCCTCTCCAATTCCCTCCCATATATGTGTCATATCATGCCATGTCATCCATCATGTGAGCATCCACGTGATACCACGTCACTTGCTATACACTTGTCATGCCATGCTTGTATTTATTTTACAAATATATGACTTATCTTGTAGTGGAACCCATGACTTTAGTTTCACTTTTAGTACCTACCTTTTTGTCAGTTGAGCTGCAATAAATTTGATGTCATAAATTAAGAAAATTAAATATATATTACCAAACTATTTTATTGTTTTATTTAAAAAATTAATTTATAATTTAGCATAGTTTTTAATGATTTTAATTTATTTGAACTCAAAAAATAATTCCATAAAATTTTTAATAATTTAATCTGTAATTTTATAATATACTATTTAATTTAACTTGATATAGACGTAATGACCCAAAGTTTTAAGTATAAATTTAAAAATTATGATAAGGTATTTTAAATATATTTTATTAATTTTAGGACAAATATAACAAGAAAGATGTGAAGGCTTAATAGAAACTCTTTTGGTGTCTACTCTCTAGTGTTGGATTCGAATTTTCAAGAAAAAAGGGATGTAATAACTCAGGAAATAATAATAATAATAAAATAATTTAAAATTTATGTCAAGGAATGTTAATTATATTTTTATATATTTAGGCGTTCATTTTTTAAAGTAAACTGATGACTTGGAGTTAAGCATTATTTAGTTTAAAATCTAAGTTCCAGGCTTCATTCCTCTAATGCTGAGTGGGATTATTTTGTTTTCATTTTTCAGACTTATGTAAAATTACCCTTTTGTCCTTGGCTCCATCAGATTTTTTATCTTCCTTCTTTCCTATTACATTTTTGCATTTTTGGCTTCATTTGAGACAGCAACAGCACTTGTTCGGAACCTCACCACCATGCTCCAGCCTCTAATTTTTTGCCGTTCATGCTTGCCACCATCACCGGAGCAAAGCTATGCCGTTCCTATCCCACCAAACTTATAATTTGGTCTTTCGTTTCTGCTTGAAACTACCGAGATCTTCCCCTTCCTCTATCCATGTGATCTTACAAGAGTTCAAGCTTTCCTCTCCCTTCACCTTCGTCTCTCTTCATCTGCCTCCAGTAACTGGAGGAAAATGCCGAAGTCCTCCTCCTTCGGTAGTGCTGGGCGTGCGTGCGTGCGTCGATATTTTCTCTCCCCTGTTCTTCATTGTGAACTTCCTCCCTCTGTGCAAGCTGCTTTAGGTTCTTCCTCCTTCTCCATTTGCTATCTCTATTTCTCCTCACTTTATTGGACTGGTTAGGTGTGGCAATTTTGAATCCTCTCTCTAGTATGATATATGTGCGTGGGTGTTGGGGGTATGAAATTTCTGAATTCTTTCTTCCTACGCTAGTACAAAATATACAAAATATAGTTTTAACCACAACCTTTTCTCCACAGTTATAAGTTTAACTGTCGTTATAATAAATTCAGTGACAAGACCAGTAATTCCAAGTAAAAATTGTGACCTTATAATGACAAGGCTTTAATAAAACTGTCGTTGTTAATGTTTTCAGCTAATTAAAAAGCATTAAATAAAATTTAGAGATACACTAAAAATATTAATTATTTTAATGTTTACAATTAATTAATAAAATCTTGAAATTAATATATATATATATATATATATCGATAGTCATTATCTTACCTGTCGTTAATTGAATGTGCAGTTCATATACCATTAATATTAATAAAAAAAACTAATATTAATATAAATAATGTAAGTAAAAAAATATTATAATACTAATATTTTCAGGACATGCCCATTCGAGGCCTATCGTCAGAAATTTATATGTCTATTTAACGACATCATTCCACAAATCTGTCGTTAATATACCATTAATATATTTAATTTAATATAAATATTAATAGATAATGTAATATTGAAAGTCATAATATGAATATTAATAAATCTTAACATACAAAATAAATAATGATAATTTTATTATTAATATTATTTAATGTTATTGCAAAGAAAATAAAGATTAATAATAAAAAGTTATGGTGTTATTAAATTTACCTCTTTTAGCTTTCAGTTTGCAAAAAAGATTAATTAATATATTGAAACACATATTACGATAGGTTTAATGGAAACCTATCGTTATATGTGCTCTTAATTTCTTTTAGCTGAACAAAAAAAATTAATTAATATATATGTTATTTAATTAATGACAGTTCATTTAATAACTGTCGTTATTATTTATAATATTATTAATACATATATTATTAATTAATATTTTGATTTTAATTATATCGTACAACTAAACTATTAATTTGACTTATTAAATAATAATTATGGACATATTTATATCTATAAAACTTTAATATGAATATAAATATTTATAAATAACATTTTTATTTATATTAATATAAATAATGTTAATAGTTATATATTATTAGTATTATAAATGATATCATTCGATATATTATATTAATTAATTAAAATTTTATTAATGTAATTTATAGAAGCTATTAATGACAGGTTTATTGAAAGCTGTCGTTAATATAATTAATAATAATTATATTTAATATAAATAATATTGTTTTTAATTTTAGTATATTTATTTAAATTTAATATTAATATTATGTATATTAATGACAGGTATACTGAGACCTGTCGTTAATATGTTCGGTTTTCGTTCACTAAATAGTATTTATATCTATATAAATTTAATATTAATATAAATATTTATAAATAAAACGTTTATTTATATTAATATAAATAATATTAATAGTTATATATTATTAGTGTTATAAATAGTATCATTAGATGTATTATAGTAATTAATTAATATTTTATACTTATAGAAGATATTAACGACAGGTTGATTGAAACCTGTCGTTAATATAATTAATAATAATAATATTTAATATAAATAATATTTTTTTAATGTTAGTATATTTATTTAAATTTAATAATAATATTATGTATATTAACGACAGGTGTATGGAGACCTGTCATTAATGCTTTCAGTTTTCTTTCACTAAATAATATTTATATTTATATAAATTTAACATTAATTTAAATATTTATAAATAAAACTTTTATTTATATTAATATAAATAATGTTAATAGTTATATATTATTAGTATTATATATAGTATCATTAGATAAATTGTAATAATTAATTAAAATTATACCAATATATATAGTTTAGAAAATATATTAACGACAGGTTTATTGAAAACTATCATTAATATAGTCCATATTTCCTTAGTTTTAATATAAATAATATTATTAATAATAACTTTAGATAAATATTATAAGATATAATTTATTTTATATTATTATATGCGATA